TCACACTTCCAATCACTCTTCGCATTATACGTCCTCTTCTCCACTTCGCATAGTCCTCTTTTCTCTCTTCCTTCTTCTCTCTCCACTCTACAGTCTTCGGCTTTCTGTCTTCGCACTTCATACCGCACTCTATATTCATCATGCTTCACTTCTCACTCCTGCCGCTTCTCTCACTCACTCTCTCTCTCCTCAGTCTTTTCACCCATCACTCTTCTTTCTTCACTTTTCACTCATCACTCTTCACTCTACATTCTGCCCTCCTCGCTTTTCCCTCTTTCACCCTTCACTGCACTTCACTCGGCCCATAAATATTTCATAAATAAATCTATGTAATACACTTGCTGCCCAAAAGCCAATCAAGCCTGCTTAGCTAGCAATTTGTTATAGTCATATTATTACTATCATTTCACACACACACACACTCACACACACAACAACCTGTGCAACATTTTAACGGTTAAATCAGGTAGTGTTTGAGCACATGAGTAGAATTGGCAACTGCCTGCTGTTTGGCTAGTAGCAACCGCTAACTAAAGCTCAACTGGTGTGAAATGTAACAGTGAACGCTTGGCCAACGGCGGGGCGAGGGTGCGGTCTTACCTAGTTTAGCTCTCGACAGCCCAGTGTTTGTCCAGCTCTAACAATGGCCAAAAAAGCAAAGGAAAAACAAAAACAGCGGGCAGTCCAAACAACTGCTTTTTGTTTCTTTTTTTTGCCATGCAACAGTTTCAGCTGTTGTTGTTGTTGTTGGGTTTGTTATTGTTTCGCGTTTGTTTTGTGGCTGCTCGCGCTTGGCGTTTACTTTGTGTAACAAGTTTGCATATGTGATTAACAAACAGCTCAGCATGCATTAGTAAACATAATTATAACACACTTAACAAAGAGTGAGTGAGAGAGAGAGAGAGGGAGAGAAATGGCGCAAGCAGTTCAGACTGCTTGAAATTCTACTGCAATGAAACGAAAGACTTAAGCGACAAACTCGCGTGGGCTAGACTCGACTTGAGTCGACTCGCAGACATGTCTTCTGTCATCAGAGCTCAGTTTACTGCCAGCAGCTGCCATCATAGAATCCTCCACCGACACCCGACACCCAAACAACATTTTCAGCTGACTCATTTTTCTGCACGATTCTTGCGCTCGTTCCACGGCAGCGCTTGACATTGACCTTCGCTTGATTATTTTCTAATTAGCTGTCGCTGCCTGCGGGCCAAAAGTTTCTTGTTGCTGTTGTCGTTCGTCCACTTCTTGAACAGATCTGTGAGCTGTATTTGTTTTCGGCATTATAACGATCACTGCCCAAGCTTTATGGTTCACTTTATATTTTTGTTTTGATTTCTTTTTATTTTTGCCACTGTCTTTGTTTCTTGCTTCTTTTTAATGGGCTTTTATTGCCTTTGTGGGCTCTGTCACCTCGTTGGAGTCCATTAAATGCGAGTAAATTAACCGAAATTATCTATTTATATTGCCGAAAA